AAGCTTAAGTTTCATGAAAATCGTTAGAGCCGTTTTGACTCAAAATGCTTTATAAAAGACATTTTTGGTTTCCTGTACAGCTAATGTTGTACAGAGGAAAACTCAATTCGAAAAGCCGAAATCATACGAAAAATATACATGGAGGTTTCTGAAAATCATAGTTTCGTAGGAAACTGCACATCGAAAATTTTACCCGATTAAAACACAGTAGTAGTGGATCCCATTACTTAACTAGTAGTGGTAGGCAAATAAAAATAAATATTATAAATGCTATGAATAATTTCAAAAAATTCTTCAAATCTTATTGACGCAGCTGAAAATATTTTTTCAAATCAAAATAAGCTCGTCTCCGACAACTTAAAGATCTTTTAGATAAGTTTTTTAGTCTAACTTAATTGGAAAAGGTTAATTTAATTTTGAATTATTTTCCTGGATGTGGTCGACGTCACTTCGATATACTTATACCGAGTATATTTCGGTCGCCATGAGTTTCAGAAACATAAAAAAATAATTATACGAAATAACACTATATATGAATATCAGAATAAAATAGCGTTTGTGCACTCATTCATATACACACAAAAAAAAATTATTTTTCCTTTAATGAAACTGAGCGAATAAGTTTTAATGAGAGTAATTTGTGCTCCACAGAAAAAAAAAAAAAAAAATGAAAATAAAGCGAATAGTTTATGGCTCTATAAAATTACTTATTTCATTTCTTCCCGGCGCCAAATGACAGTATATGTGCCTATATAATGTGGCTATATTTGTGGAAATTGTCCTGTCTGTAAACGTCGGCATTCTGTTATACCAATTCAATTTTCTACTGTAATATCTCCCTTATTTACATTTTTGTAATAAAGTGTTCCTTTCCACGTGTAATTTTAAATTGGGGGAACAATTTATTCTGCTCGTATGTCAGGGGTAAACACTATTTAATATGAAAATGTCTATTTCCTTTTCTAATATTTACAATTGTGTCATATAAGTATTGTTGGTAAAACAAAACCAAATGGAAGGTATGATATACACTGTTTTAATATTTTTCTTTATACTATTAAGCTAAAATATTTGTCTAATCAATATTTGTTTAACAACAAGTGAATTAGTATTGTAAAAAAAAAAATTAGGATTGGGGCAAAACTTTTAATTATTTCTTTGTAATACACCTACATGTATCTATATTTATATGTATATGTAGAATAGAATAGAACAGAAAAAATAATTTTGTCTCTGTGACTGTCTTTTTAGAGTAACAATAAAAAAAAAAAAAAAATAGATTGATTATAATTCTGGCCATAAGACCGATATCATAAAAATAAATTACAAAAAAAATACCTACATATCTTCTTGTACAAAAAATATATATATTAAAAACAGATGAGAAAAAATGAAATGAGACAATAGCTACTTAATTAGAATAATACAGAGAGGGTAATTAAATTAAGCATACACTTTATCATATAAGCAACAAATTAATCATATAAATATACCGCAAGGTAAAAGATCTTAGAATACCCCAGAATATTTTAGCATCCCTGGGAAATCAAGAAGAAATGGTTACCAAAGTTATCAAGTTTCTAGATAATGAAAGACTTAAACAACAAGTTTATAAATTATGACCCTTTGCAGATTTATTATTATTTTTTATTTTTATTTTTTTTTACTTATTTATTTATTTTATCTATTTACTTTATTTCATTTTATTTTTTTTATTTTAAAAGTTCATTTGGTTATTAATTTCAAGTCATTTATTGATTTTATTTCTATTTTTTTAAAGTTTATTTATTTATCTATTCTATCTTATTATCTATAAGTGTCTATTAATATTTTTATTTCATTGTATCAATTCTTTTATTTAATTATGTGATTTGGTTATTTATTTATTTAGTTATTAGTTATAGTTAGTTATTTATTTATTCATTTATTTAGTTATTTATTTAATTATGTTATTTTTATTTATTTATTTCATTCTATCAATTCTTTTACTTAATTATGTTATTTGGTTATTTATTTATTTAGTTATTAGTTATAGTTAGTTATTTATTGATTCATTTATTTAGTTATTTATTTAATTATGTTATTTTTATTTATTTATTTCATTCTATCAATCCTTTTATTTAATTATTTTTATCCTTTTTTTATTCTTATTTTTCGGACCAACCATCCAATAGGCGCTGATGACCTGGACGTTTTGCGCCTAGACATCGAAACAAACAACCAAACAATCATATAAATAAACATTCTTAACTAAAAGAAAAAATATATATAAATTGCTACTTCCGTTATTATAAAAATACATAACCAAATAAACATAATTGTTGTGAAAATGTGAATAGATTGTACCCGAGTACTCTGTACAAAGTAATATGAAATATATATTTAGATTCCTTACAAAAAACAAAACAAAAAAATACACATATAACTGAATATATATACACGTGCTTCATTTCAATAAATTAAATATAAAAAAAAACAATCATTGATATAAAGAATTTTTTAAAAATTAATTACGAATGAAAAAAAAAAAACATTAAAATAATAGGTCAAAAGAAAAGGGAATACATATATTAAATTAATGTTAAATATATCTCTTATTAATATAATTGAATGAGCAATTTAATTAGGGATGAAATTGCCACACTAAATAATTTCAATAGTGCTATCTGGAACGAGCATAATCAATGAAGTGTCGAAATATATTTGAATTGATAAGAGCTATCAAATGGGGCTTCATTAAAGGTAGAAACAATATGTACTGCAGAGGATAGTTAAGGACATAGAAACTCAATTTAAAAATTATTAAAAAATATTAATTAGGTACAAATAAATCTTTGACGTCAATTATGCTACAGAACTCAAAAAGGGACTGAAAAGAACTTTGTTGAAAGATCTACCTCAGTAGCTTTTCAGTCCAGATCAAGCATAGATGGATCTACAAAAAAAAAAATTTATTGCTTATTTATGTGAGTTATCTAAGCTAAATGTTTAAAAAATCATAATATATTTTCTTTTTAATAATAATGTATACACAGTTACATAATGTAAGTGTCAAGAAAACATGTAAGAAATTCACCCCAAAAAGCATAATTATTCATGTTATATTTTTCGCTTTCAAGGGATAGCTTATACATCATTTTATGTAGGTAATTTTTTATTTTTCTTCCAGAATAACCACCGTTGTTAAATTTTAATAATAAAAATAAAAAAGCCCTCACAAAACAAGAAATTAAATCCTGGATCCTCTACTAGCCCAAGTTAGTTCCTCTTAAAACTTGACATATGTTACTTAAATGTTTACGTCTGAAAATTCCCTGATGTTCAAATGCATAAAAGCTTAACGGGGCATGAAAATGAATTACAACATGATCATTTAGTTAAATTAAGAAAATTTTTTTATTAAAACTGGTACCATTTTAATTTGATAAGAATCGTACCTCTTTAACGCCTGGATTTAAAAAAAAAATCTTTGGGTGTTAATTAACTTTTTTACCAAATTAAACAATAAACAAATTCTTCATCTTTTCAACACAGTCCAATTTTACTTATATTTCTCTCGTAACTTAATTTGCTCCAGCCTATGGCCCTCATGTTTAATTTTTTTTTTCTTTTGAGTAGTTAATATTATGTGTATAATGTATTTCCTTGAATACAAGATGAGTATTCACGCATACGGATAAGACAGCAATTCTAGATTAAATCTATTTTAAGATTTTACTTTGGTGCTTTTCTAAAATTTAAAGTAATAATGATTATTAAACTATTCATCAAATCAATTAATTCAACAAATAAAAAAAGTTATGAAAACTTGGTCACTAGCTTTTTCTACAATTATTTCTTCTATCTTTGATTGATTTTTTAAATTTTAGAAATGAATAAAGAATATTTTAATAACATATTTTTAATTTGATTAATTTTTTTTTAGTTTCCCGATAAACTTTTAAGTCGAAAAAAATTATTTTTATCTAGAAATATTTAGACCTAGGTTCCAGACTGTTCAAGAATTTTTTTTGTTTTTATATAAATCTAACATTGTTTTTAGATTTGTAATTTTATTTTTGTCTTAAAATATAATTCAGATTAGGGTACAAAAATGAACTGTTCCACGACGTTCCTTGAACGTTATAATAATACTTCTTGAACCTTGTGCTACCAGATGTCCGGGTTTATACTTCAATGCTATAGTTTTATAACACGGAAAGTATGTTCAGATGGTCGTAATTGGAAATGAACAAGTCTGATTCTTATTTTTGATGTAATATTTTCAAAAGAAAGTTAAAATAAAAGGTAGTTTACTAAGGACTGTTCATTGTAATACATAAATATGTAAATTTAGATAAGCAAAAAACACTCTCGTCTGGTTCTTTTCAGTTAAAAACATCGCTGATTCGACTCTCGCTCGCAATGCTCGTTTAAAGGGGATAAACAAATCTCCAACGGGTCCTTTTCTGTACAGGTCGGGACTTTACCAGAAAGTTCAGCAACTTCATCTACTTTTGAACAAACTCGTCTATTTTGGAGCTTTCATTTAGTGTATGATCATGAGATCTTGTGCCGCCCACAGGCGGATCTACTTGGAGGGCTTTGGTGCTGAAGTCCTCCCCCCCCCCCCAAAAAAAAAACGGTGAAATATAACCATTTTTTATAGAAACAGATATTAAAAACTATCTCTTAAAGTATTATTGTTCGTGTAATTACATTTAAGAGGACTTCAAGTATCACTTAAACACCATTTCCTATAGGTAGTTAATTTCTTTCTTTTTTTTTTTTTAAATTAACTATCGTTATATATTTGAAAAAAAATCTTTCGGACTGCTCCCTCCCAAAAAAATTAAATCCTGATCCCCAGTGCCGAAGGGAGTAAAATAATATATATATATAGATATATCTGATATATAGATATATAGTATATATATATATAATATATACCAACAGTTCAAGTAACAATAATCGTATCAATATGCTTTTCGAGTAATGTCACCATAAACTCAAGGACTCACCTTGCATATAGGCTTTCAAGCCCCCAGTGGCCAGAGCCTGCAGGTGGATCGGAGGGAAGATGTACAGAGCCTCCGAACACGCAGCAATGAAGAGCACTAAACACAGCACCCTGCACAACGCCATGCTTCGCGAGCTCCACTGATCCCTGTCACTTATAGAGTCTGCCGTCCTTGCCACTCCTAGCCCCTCCACCTCCCACCTCCTCTTTCTTCGTGTCCCAATAACCGGTCAATGTATCCGCTGACTTACTGACCTTGAAATGAGAACGAAAGTAACAGTAACAGGCGGTTTCTTCCAGGACCATCAGGTTCGGAAGTCATTCCATTTATCGAGCTTGATAATATTTGGTTTTTCTATGACCCTTATTTCTTTATCCTTCTATTAAGGCATTTGATTTTATCAATATAAATAAGGGATGACGTCTTGCAATCATAAAAAGCCAACATTGAATCTATCGTCCCAGAGCTACAGTAAATTAGGTAGAGTCAATGCTTATTAAATTTAATATTTTGACTCTCGGGATTACATAAACATTTTTCATTATAGTTTTCACCTTATGGATCCACCGTCTTGAAAATAAATTTTGATCTACATTTGAAAATAAATATTGCAGTTATAAGGAATTACGCATAACAAAAAAACCATAGACCTAATTACGCTGTGTAGATCCACACGATATTTAATAAAATTTCAAATGATTTCGGTAATCGTCTTACTCTTTAGTTTTTGTTGTTATTCCTTTTTAATTCAGATTGTCTGAGGGCAAATGTGAATTCACCTACATACAATTTTTCGAATCTGGCAAAGTAAGGGAATATTCAGGAAATTTCATGAAATAAAGCAAGTAAGTTTCTAAATTCAGAGTTGAGTTCATAATCATTTACTAATCTGAGCTCGAAATTTACGAAAATGTACTTACAAGGGTTTAACGAGTCTTTAATAATTTATGAAATTCTTTCATAGTTTATATTCAGCCATTTTGTATTGCTACTGACAATGAGAGACAGTTAATTATTTAACATACCAAAAGTGAGGTACTTAAAAACAAAAATACCTGTACCTTTACAACCCAGGAGGGATTTTAGATTCAGTACTATTTAGGGAAAGCACTGTTTCTTAGTTCACTTGATTTGTGCAAGGAGGTGATTTGACCGAGATCACGCTCAACTGTTTTCCCCTTAATCGATTATTTAATTAAAGGTACCCACTTTTTAGTATAGGTGTACCCCAGAAGGATCTTCTGATCTCTGGGTCCTCCCAAGGCGGATGTAGCAGAATAAATAATTTTTCTACCACGAGCCAATTCGAACCTGGGATCTTGAGCATAGAAACCCTGTTCCATTGAGTGAGTTACCCCACTCCTCTAAGGTACTTTAGGGAAAGAAATTTCGAAAATGATCCATTTAAGTCCTGTAAGTGACATGAGAATAAGACCTACCTGATATCAAAGACCATTTAATTATACATTGATATATCGAGTTTAATTTAAATCGTTTGAGGCGTTTTCGAGAAAATGATAAAAATGTGTAAAATTGATGACATAAATAGGTCAATACTTTCGGATAACCGATTTTGATCAAAAGTTGCTGTAACGTCCCATATACAAACCTAATATTCGTAATTTCAGTTTCGTACAACATTAGATTTGTGAGATAGACTGTTCACACATACACAGACCATTTTGTAGGATTTGGTTATTGGAAACTCAAAAGGTATATTTCGGTTGAAAATCAAATTAGAAAATTTTCAAGATCGCAAAACTTCCCCATGCTACATATATAGGTAAGTGAAAGTAAAAACAATTAAGCTATAAAAAAGATTATACTATGACTTATAAATAACATGAAAATATATACAAACATATAATTAAAATTTAAATAAATTTTGAAATCGATATTTGGGACTCCAACACTCACGTATTGAATAAATACGGTGAAAACTACTCATCATTGGTTTCATGACAGTTGTTTTTATAATGGCCGTCAGTAATATTAATGCTTAATGACATATTTAAGGAAAGAGCCTTTTCCAGAATTTTACACAAAATGTTTACAAGCCCATAACTTAATTGACGTCCTCGAGGACATTCAATAATGATATGCAACTATTAGCATACGAATTACAGGTCAATTAGTTTTCTATTTGAATGCATTCCTCTGACGGTTTTAAGCTGCTACGTCCACAATGCACAACACCATTCCGGATATCAGACACGGTCGATGTGGCTCGGTATGAGGCGGACATAAGTGGATGCAACTGTTCTTGCTCCTTTCTATTGTTTGCAGCTTTCCCGTCCTTCACACTATTCCGCTCTCAATGGCGATATTCCTCTATGCGAGTAAGAGAAAAATATCTCATTTGCGATGATTTAAATCACATGTGGCCTCTATACAGACACCGATTTCTCTATTTGCAATGAGATTCGATTTATACTTAAATTGTTATTATTCTACTGGTTCAATTAAATGTTCACTTAATTAATAAAATAATTGAATTATGGTTTATTATTATGTAGAGTTAAAATGTTTTAAAAATATCCATAACGAACGCTAAAGGTAGCTATGAGCTTTAAAGTGTAAGTGAAATAGGAAATTATCCCAAATATGAGACCTCGCCTTGACATCAATAGTTGGAGCCAGTATTATGCACTTAACCGAGGCTAACCGAGAAATGGATAATGCCAGCGTTATCTGATTGCTGATAATAGTCTAAGAAGGAAAATCGTGATGGATATGGAATATACATATAAATGAAAATTAATAAAACGAGGTACTTTCTTGTACTTATAAATATCACATATTCTGAGCTATAATTAATAAATATTCTAACATAACAAAAATTTGTTAATGTGTGTGTAGGTAATAAAACTTCTTTCTCTTCCTCCTTGGTGCGTTACTGCGAGGAAGGGGCCTTGATTAGTGTTGCCCAAAATCGTTCTTGGTCTTGCACATTGCTAGACCAAGACCAAGGCCGCCTAACTGTTGCAAGATCAAGTCCAGGAGACTGGTAAAGAACTCCTCTAATTCTTCATTCGGGCTTAGTTACGTTTCTCCTATCTAAAACATTACAGTAATATCTCTACAGTAATAAGGTAATAAGTAACTGCAAGACTGTTGCGAGACTCTTGCGCAAGACCAAGACCATGACCAAGACTGAGTTTGCAAGACCAAGACTCGTCTCGGTCTCGCATTTGGGCAACACTAGCCTCGATCTATTTACGACAGTACCTTCCCTTGCCAGGTTCCTCATATAACCAAACTGCTCGCCTCTTTTTCGTCCCAGATTGCTTATTTCTTCAATTCGTGGACTTCTTCTTGGCCTCTTTTCTGTGAGTATTGCCTTAAGAAATTTTCTGTCCTCGTCCATTCTTATATCATAGCCAAAAAATTGAGCATTTTCTTTTCCATGGGTTCCAGAATTGATGACACCATAACATTGTCTCTAATCCGTTCGTTTCGAATGCGATATCTTCTAGTTCGGCCATCTACTGTTATCAGATATCTCATTTTGGTAACGGTAAGTTTACTTTTGTGGCTATCTAGTAGGACCCAGCACTTACTACAGTAAGGTTGGAAGGTAGAGTGTATCGTATATATGGATCTTAGTCATATTTTCCTCCTCTCGTTTTCCAGCGACCGTGTTGCAGATCTGGTAATAGATGCCATTTGCTTTTTTGATCCTGTTTGATATCTCTTGGTCTATTTTTCCATTTCTTCCAACAACTGTCCCTAGGTAGAATACAAATAATGTAGATAATAATAATTTCTGGTTAAAGCCATTCACAAAGTTTTAGAGAGATGTTAATAATTTGATAAAAAGTGGTCTATACCACACAATATACAATTTGTGTATGTATAGAGAAGAAGAGAAGAAGAAAAAAAATTACTTTTTATCTATCAAAATTACATAATATCAATTACCAAATAATATTTTTGGATTTAAAACCGAAAATCAGACGTGCAACATGGTCTGTTGACCGTCAGAGGAGTCTTTGTTTTCTAACAAAATTATATTTCTATCTATTTATATACAACTAATTAATAAGAAAATAAGAACAATTATATTTACAATGTAAAAGTTATATAAATATTTTTATTTACAAAAAGAGTGGTACCAAAATTTTCAAGTTTATTAATTGTTAGATTCAGATCTGCAGTAATTTACCAATGCTACCCAATAGTTTCCATTTATTAAATCTATTGCTTGATCCCGAGATAAATTTCTAGATTTTAACCATTTAATTCTAAATTCAGAGATTATCGGACAAGCAGCCAGAAAGTGATAGAGATCGTCTGTTTCGTTTGTATTACACATGCTACAAATATTATTCGTTTGCTTGAAGTGTTTACAATTTAAGTTGAAAACATCAGCTCTAATTTTAATTACCCGTCTGATCAATGAACTTTTGTCATCAATATAATTTACTGAAGTTAAATGAAGACAAAACAAAAAGTGAAAGTTTTAGAAATCTGAACTTTAATTACATATTGATTAAACATGTCTTTCAGAATTTGAGTTCTTAGTAAATATAAATTAGCTCTAATATATATATAAAGCTTCTTACTTTCTATTCACTTTAACTATTTATATTCACTTGTACCGTATTCCACTCACTGCATTTTCATTGCGTTATCTTATTTTATTTTTTTAAATATTGCATCACGCATTAATTTGTCTTTGGATTATAATTTAATTTAATTTTTATCGATGCAGCCAGGCACATGCAGGTTTTAGTGTACATTTACGTCTTTCTTAGAATACAATTAAGCTATTCTTTCATCCTTTCTCTAAGCCCGTGATCGAGTTTTTGAAAACATAATTACTTATGCTTATCAATTACTGGTAAATTAACAACTAAATGAAATAACTTGAAATTATAGTTAAAAAATAACAGGTTCCTCACTAATATAGTAGATAGTTTGTCTCCTGAACTGGCTAATGTAATATTAATAATTTAGAGGAAGGAGATGGTGTTCATAAAGAGAATAAAATAGTGGAAAAACTATTTTATTTTATTGTAAAAAAATATTATTATTTTATGTCATTATTACAGTTTTTCCTATATTTTAGTCTCTTTATGAACGCCACCCCAGACCATCTCCTTCCACTAAAATATACAACGATCAACCATTATGTTTTCGATTTTAATACCTCTATTCATACATAAATGAA